TCCATCTAGTAGTTCACACTATGGATATAAGTTCTAATTTAGTGACAAAGTTATCTGTCACTAGCTAAAGTGACAGACCTGGAATCATGGGCCCTTACTGAGGAAATTTCTGTTCATGTACTGTTAAAGTGTCTTACTTAGGTTTTAAAATGAGGTAGGTAGAAAAAAACTGTGCTAAGGTATTTAAGAAAAAACATTGCCTAGGAGGCCAGCTCCTGGTTCTGCACCCAGGTTGGCATAAGGAATGCCTTCTCAGATTAGCAAGGAACTTGGAAATATTTCTCCTCTATCTGAGGGCTAGACTTTTCTGTCTGAGGGGTAAATAAGGAAACACACACTACCTGATGGTAACTTAAGAAAAAAGAAGGAACAAACACATCTCCTTACATACATGTCTCTCTTTACAAGCATATATCTTTCTTCTGCACAGCCATACATCTCTATACAGTTTCATCTCTCTTCACATAGTTATATCTCTTTTCCCAGCTACATTTACCTTCTGCACGGCCACGCATCTTTATACACAGTTACATCTATTTTCACACAGCTACACTCTCCACACAGCTACACACCTCCACACTCCTGCACACAGCCACACCTCTCTCACACCTTTCTCTCTGCATCCAGCTACATATTCCTGCTAACACATGCCCACTTCTCTCACATTTCTCTCCTCATTCCCCCGACGTGTCTCCTGCTTCTTCTCAAAGCCAACACTTCTGGATAAGTACCAATCACATCTTCCAGGGTCACGGAGCTCTTCTTGAATAAACAACGAGAACCAGAGACAAACTGATCATACAGTCTCTCTCAGGCAAGGGAGGTTGTGCTGACCAGCCAGTGAGCCACGTAAGCATGTAGCTCTGAGTGGTCAGGGCTCCCAGACAGAAAACGACATTGAAAATCAGGACTTAAACAATGAACAGTTAGCTGGCTGAACCTTGAGGCTGGGAGTATGTGCAGAAAGTATATTGCTGAGAAAGTTATATCTGCTAACATTGCTTCATGCTCTGACATTGAATCAGCAATGAACACCTGGGAAATTGACCTCATCTATTTGTCTCCAGGGGCAACCAGTTTGCTTTGAATTTGTGCTGAACTCTAAAATCAGCTGTCTTAGTAGCTGGGAATACTATTCCTGTTTTTAACATTTTTAATTTGTTTTATTTCGTTTTACATTCCAACCACAGTTCTTCCTCCCATCTCTCCTCCCTCCTCCCCTCAACTCCTCTCACTCTCCCTAACGACCCCGCTAGCCCATTCCATTCCACTCCTCCTCACAGGTAAGGACTCCCATAGTCTGGCACAATAGGTGGGGCAGGGCCTGTCCCCTCTCCCATGCATCAAGACTGAGCATGGCATCCCACCATACAGAGGGGGCTCCAACAAGCTAACTCATGTACCAGGATTATATCATGGTTCTACTGCCACTGAGCATAGCATCTCACCTCCAACAAGCTAGCTCATGTACCAGGTTCGTATTATGATCATACTGCCAGAGGCCCCTCTGATTGTCCAAGCTTCACAACTGTCTCCCACATATGGAAGGCCCAGTTTGGTCCCCTGGAGTCTCCACAGTTGTAGGTCTAGAGTTCATTAGTTTTCACAAGCTTGGTTCAGCTGTCTCTGTACATTTCTCCATTATGATCTTGACCTCCCTTGCTCATATGTTCCCTCCTCCCTCTCTTCACCTAGATTCCCATTATGTCAGTCTGAGTAATGAAATATATCCTACTATTTGTATTAATCAGAATCATACAGGTTAAGTAGAAGTCATCTTCCTGACCATTTGCAGCTATATGTGTGCTCAACAAATGGAATAATACTCATATCTGTTTCTAGTGGCACATGAGTGAAATTACAGTGGCCCCATGGTCTTTGCCAAGTGGGGCTCCCCATCAGAGAGTCACCCATCTGGTGGGTCAGCCTGTTGAGTACTAGTTGTCACCTGCTGTATACTCCCAAGTACTGGTACGTGTAAGTGCTCTTACCCTCTTCTCTAATGAACACTTGCCAGCTGTGGGAAGAAAGGGTGAAATGATTAATTGAAGGCTGAAAACAATGAGGTTCAAACAAGATTGCTAGCAAGAGTTAATAAAGGACAAATTTTTTGTCACCCAGGTTGTATTCTGCTCACATTAAAATATAAAGAGCTCATGGATACAAAAGGTTTATCCATTGTGTGGCTCTCTCAGAGAGCTGGGGGAAAAGTGAACTAAGTCATGTGTAAAACTTTCCTGTTCAAATCAGCCACCTACCTAACTCCTTAAATTGACTTAGAGACTCTGTATTCACCTAGTATGCATTAATATTCTGGATCTCCAAGTGTCTCATCACCCCGTTTCTGCCACCACCTTTCCAAGAGGGCCCAAGCCCTTCTTGCAAGCCCTCCTGGCTGTGGGGGCTACAATTTCCTCTGAATTGCTACTGTAGAACACCAACCTGATTGTCAGTCTTGAGCTCCATCAGGGTCTCATTGTCTCTCAAAGCATCAATCAGTGCTAAAAGCCCAGCACCTGTGATGAAGTTGGACTCCCTATTTAAACTCTTCAAAGTTTTGTTCACTTTCAGCATATCTGCAAACACCTAGAAATTCAGAGAAAATGTTTGGAGCTTAAAATCTGATAGTACTTATTCTTCACAGGACATGCCATGAGTAAATTCATAAATTGAACTTTCAAAAAAAAAATATAAAGAGTTTGTGGTTGAGAAAGATAGTCTCAAAAACAACTAGTTTTCCTCTTTGAACCCTGATAAACCCACAAGAAAACTATCTAAGGGTTATTTTAGAAGTTAAGACAAGAACAGACAGTATTTGAATCTGGTCAAAGTTCTGCCTTGTTTCTTTACTGATTCATGAATTTAAATTTAACCTTGAACACATGTGTGTCATGAGAGCTATGCTTTTCAGGTTGGTAAAGCAGTGTGTGGTATGTATAAGAGTCACATTTTCTTTATTCATTGCAGTTGATGGCCATTTAGGCTAATTCCATTTCTTTACTGTTATGAAAAGAACAGTGGTAAATATGAATGTAAATTATCTCTTTGGTCAGATGTAGACTATTTTGGGTATATGCCCAGGAATAATGTACTTGTGCTTGGAGTTTTTGAGATGCCTCCACACTGACTTCCATAGTGGCTCCAGTCCATAGTGTATGGTTACCCATCTACCTGAAGCTGCTTAGCTTAACCTGAGAAAGAACTGTGAGTCTCTTTGGCTCAAGACATCAGTCATTGGTATCATCTAACTGTTGAATTAACCTTCTTCCTTAGAGTCTAGAATGACTGGAGCTTTAGATGAAAGGGTATGTTAGCTCATGTGCAGGGCTTTTCTTTCTATTAAAGTAGATTCCCCTGGTGTGGTAACCTGGTAGAAAGTTTATACTTGACAGCTGTATCTGGATACTTCCAAATTGCTGTTCTGATTTTTTTTTCTTGATGGTAACAGTGTTTCTACTTAAAATTTCCATTGAGGGGCTGGAGATAATTTACTGGTTCATACCACTTTTCCTAGTGCACTTGCAGAGTTGGGTTCTTTTCCCGGTAGCTGCCAGTTGGAGCTCCATTTCTAGGACATCCCTCTGATGCCCTCTTCTGGCTTCTGCATACATGTGATGCACACACATAAACTTTGACACACATATTCACACACACACAAAAAATGTGTTTACATATGTAGAATGTATTTCTAGTGTCCCCAAGTGAAGGGGGAATTCCAGCATAGCAGGGGCTCTCTTCCAGATCCCGAATTAGGCACTAATTTTCACAGAGAGACCCTTTATTAAGTGGGGAAGAAAAGTTAAAGTGGATGCGTTCTGACTCAGTCAGAAAAAAGCAGCAAATGACCTTGTAGGTGTAATTTTTAAGAGGAAGATAAAGGGAAGTCTGTGTTTGAATGGGCCAGGATGTGATGGTAACAGAGATAGAGGACGAGGGAAAGGGGGCAGGGACACAGGACTGCCTCTGGATAGAGAAGAGGCAGACATAGCACATAGACAAATGGCAGTTTATAAAGATAAAGAGGGAAACCCCATGCTAGGATGAGGTATTTAATTTTAATTGGGCACGTTAATTAGGTGAACCAAAGGGGGCTTCTGATTGCTGGACTTCAATACTTTGATAGCTAGACCTTGGTGGTAAGGCTCAGGAGGAAGAAGTGGCTAAAGAAGGAAATAGACCTTGGTGGCTGCCTTTAGGAATGTAACCTAACAGATTTTAGCAAGTCAGAAGGAATGGGGAGAAGGGCAAGGCCAGCCAGAGCCATTTGCTCTAGTTGGCTAGTGTCCCTTTACCAAGAATAATGTTTTAACATGTAAGCATTCAAGTGTTACCTTATTTTAAAGTATAGAGAACACTCTGAAATTATAAGTACTTTGAGTTCATAAGCTTCAGCTTGTAAAAATTTTAAACTACTTGAAAAGAAAATAAGATGTTGATATTTTGCAGTACATTTAGAACACTCTTAAAAGTGTACCTAAATTTTGCACACTCTGGTCTTTTCTCCCTTTCTTTCTAGAAAGGAAGTTATAGCTTGATGTTGCTATTTCTTTTCCACATGTTTATTGTTCTATTTCATACATGGGGGGTGGTGATTCAAGATAGTCTTTCTCTGTGTAGCCCTGGCTATTCTGGAACTCACTTTGTAGAGCAGGCTAGCCTCAAATTGAGAGATCTATCTGCCTTTGCCTCCTGAGTGCTGGGATTAAAGGCATGCACTACCAGGTGGTCCTGCATAGAGTGGACCTCTGCCATTGGTTTGCAGATGAAGGACTCTTCTAAATGGCTGTAAAAACTTTTAGAATGCTGAAAAATTAGATCTATTTGAAATCATGTCTGGAGACTAAAACCATGACATTGTGTCTTTTTAATCCATTGCAGGAAATGTATCGATGGAGCCCAGTGGTGGGTTGGGAACTGGAGAAGTCAGTCTTCCATGGCTCAGGGAGCCTGAGTGTTTTTTTTTTGGTTTCTCATCACTCCCTTCTCTGTCTCTTTACCAGGCATATGCAGCAGTGTTAAGGCAACAAGCTAAGGACAACAGACAAAGTTCATCAGGAAAAGCTTGTTTTGGCACCTCTCTCCCGGAAGAAAAACTCAATGACTTTCGTGATGAGCAGATTGGACAGTTGCAAGAGCTGATGCAAGAAGCTACCAAACCCAATCGGCAGTTTAGTATCACTGAGTCTACAAAACCAAAATTGTGATACATAAATCTTAACAAAGCATGTTAAATTTAAACCACTTACCTCATCTATCATTGGCTCTTTAAAATATATCTGTGCGGCTTTGATGGAATAGTCTTGTTTTGGTATTGTATGAATGATAAATGGATAAAGATTACAAATGGCACACTATTGATGGGAGATGTCATCATTCTGTAAATATGTTTCTCATACTGGTTAATGAATAAAGCACTGTTGGCCAATAGGAAAGCAAGATAGGCAGGACTAGGAGACAAGAAGGATTTGAGGAAGTAGTAGGGAGGAGTCAACATGGAGAGCCTGGAGAGAGGAAGTCCGGGCCTACTCTCTGGTAAGATGAGACCACATGGAAATACTTAGATTAATAGAAATGGGTTAATATTTAAGGCAGAGCTAGCCGATAAGAAACTAGTAACAGGCCAACAGCATAATATTAAATACAGAGTCTCTGTGTGTTATTTGGGGCTGGTGCGGTTCTGGGCCCGGGTCAGCAGGAAAAACCTTATTTGTACACACTATGCCATCACTGGAGTAACAGATTTGCTGTGTGGAATGTAATTTTGTGGAATTTAATTCTTGGAGTAAAAGGCATTAAAAAGAACATACTTTGGAATTGTACTGAAAATTTCTTTTTTTGTAGATGAATTTGTTTTAAATTCTATTCTCATCAAGCAGTCACTCATAGTTTGTTTCTAGCTTCACTGGTTAAATAAATAATATCATGATCAATGGTAGATGTGGAATTCCAGTAAGCTTATTATTAGATATATAGTCATTCTGAAAGTCCCACTGTGTTTCCTATAATAGTACAGTCCTGACTATCACTCAGAACATCCTCTGAGTCACAATGAAAGTTTTAAGAAAACAATTAAGATTTAATTTTTTGAGAATTTCAGTAAGGTTAGGGAGATGAAAATGACTATGTTGACTTACAAATTTAAAAATAAAATACCCATTAAAACTTGTGTGTAATCTGGGCAACCGATTGGATGCTGGAGTGACAGAAGTTGGGCCAGGGAGCTAGCTCAGCTGCTGAAGCGTTTGCTGGGAAAGCATGATGCCCTGAGTACAGATCTCTAGTACCCACATGAAAAGCCGGTGTGGTGCTGCATGTCTGCCACCTTAGTGATGAGGAGGCACAAGACCTATACATCCCTGTGGCTTACCAGCCTGTATAGCTGAGTTTGTGAGCTCTGGGTTCAGTGAGAGACCTACTCTCAAAAAGTGGAGATCAGTAGAGGAGCATGGCTTCCATAGATTGACTACATGTGACACCTTCCATAAGATAGCTTCTATAGATTGACTACATATATGTCCATAGATAGCTTCTATAGATTGACCAAATGCATGTGACATCTTCCATAAGATAGGTTCTGTAAATGATAAGGGTATGCAGGAGGATGTGGTGTGGTCTAGATCACCAGGCTGTTAACCTCATCTGATCCTAGCCGTCTAGGCATTTCTTCCCTTGGAAGGAACAACTCTATGTATTTAACATTCCAGGTTCATGTGGCCTATCTGTGAGCACAAAGACCTCCATGCCTCCTACATAGAACTAAACCTTATTTCTAAAATTCAAGTCTGTTTTTCAAATTACATGTGTTATTTCCAGTCATACTAAAAATTAAACTTATTTTTATTCCCTTCTCAATAACTGAATATTAAAATATTCCCAGTTCATTGGTTAATCTAATTCAGCTTAGATTTTACATTTCCTTAGAGGCTTGCTTATCAGGAAGTCTAAGGAACCATGTAGTAGATTGCCAAGTAGCCTTAGTTCTCTGCCATCCTTGATTACCATTTCTGTCTGTATTAAGTAACCTTGTAGCTCCTTCCTCCTATGTTCACTTGGGCTGGCCTTGAAACTTAATTTGCTCAAAAGAACAGATGTATGGTCTATACCCTGAAGCCTGGCACACCTCCAGGTTTTAAGTAGAGATGGAGAGTAATGCATAGGGTAACAATGTAACCAGTGTAAATTTGGATACTTTGAAAGGAGCGTGGTAATGATGGTTAATTTGAAGTAGGAGTGTGATTTGTAGCATAACCATTTTAAATGGTCATACAGAAATTATAAATGTGTAGCTAATGGAAGAGAAACTGAAATAGTAAAAACATAGAACAGATATCACTAGAAAAATAAGAGTAAATAGATTTTCTGAGTTGGAAATTGTCTCCTCTGAAGTTCATCTTGGAGGCTGATCCTCCTTGTGAGACGCTGGGTGGTAGAAAGAGTCAGAAGACTGAATCAGCGGGATGGAGCTCCCATGACTAAATATTTGTGACTTTATAAGAAGAGACAAGACAGGACACAAGGTATCCTCTGGATAACATCTGGAGAATTTATCCGGTTAAAGGCAATTTTTAAGTGGTTAAGAATGAAACCAATTCATGCTGTTATGAAAAATTGTATCTGAAGCATAATATAAAGATCAAACATACAAACCAAAAGAAAGCTGAAATGATATGTGCAAACATACACACATGTGGACATGTGTGTGCACATGTGTATGGTAAAAGTTAAGGCAAGAGCATTGCTAGAAGTTTACTAGGAAGATAATTCAAAGTCTCATTTACATGGTAAAGAGAATGATTAAGCAGCCCCATGCTTTAGAAAGCTAACACAATTCCAACTATCTCACATTTCAAAGAAGAAACCAGGAGTAACTGGAACTCTCCAACAATGAAAATGCCCAAATAGGATGTATGGGCTGTGACTAAAGCAATGCTTGGAGTAAACTGATGTGCTTCAATGTGTCTAGCAGGTACCAACAAAGGTTGTGTATGAGAAGTATGTGTCTTAGCCAGGCAGGGTGACAAACACCTATAATTCCAGCACTTGGGAAGAAGTGGAGACAAGAAGATCAAGGATTCAAGGTCATCCTCAGCTACATGGTAAGTTTGAGGCCAGCCATTGCAACAAGAGAGATTGTCGCAAAAATCCAAAAGGAAATAGCTATCTTAGTAATTTAGAAAAACACAATGTTGGAAAGAAGGATTCAACCAAAGGTTTAAATACGAAAAATGCTTTTTAAAACAATCCACAACTGATCATACCCAAGGTAGATCCCCAGAAATGTTAACAGAAAATAAAGGTAACCATATAGGAACAAAGGAAGATACAGCTATTTCTGTTTACATGATATTATCAACAGTTAATACATTTGTGGCATCCAGAAGAAATTTACAAATTTCCTAAAACTTATGTTTACCAAAAAATAGATAAACACAGGAACGAAAAAAAAAAAAAAAAAAAAAAAAAAAAGAAAAGAAAAGAAAAAAAAGTGCTACAACAATGAAAGCCATTTAGTCAAGAGTTTACAGTGATCCTAGAAAGAAAAATCCACCCATAAGTATTTTTTTTTTCTTACGTGAGCACTGCCAAATATCAAGAAATAATCCTAAACTGAAGCTTTTTCACTGAGCAGATAGAGAAAGCTTCCTGATTCACTTTGTCACATGAGTGAAGTGGCCAATTTCACTTAGGAACATGGACACAAAAATCCCAAGTATTGTAGAGAAGAATCTAGCAAATAGCAATACATGACCTGGTTAGGTGTATATACCAAGAATCCAAAGTTGTTCCTGTTGGGAATCAGCAGCCTGCTGACTCTCACCCCTGGCGATGGGCAGGACGCTCATGGCCATGTCATCACTATGGCAGGCTTTATCTAGTGCCAGAGGACTCAATTACGCATGTGCAAGCCCCCCCCCCCAAAAGCAAGCATGCCATGTGCTCCTCTCTCTCTCCTCGGTTGGCCACCACCAACCCCTCTTTCTCTCCCCTCTCTCAATAAACTCCACATGGGGCTGAGTCTCGTGTTTGTGTTTCTTAGGCATTAGCTGCAGCAAAAGAACAACAGTTCCTACATTAGAAAATCAATTGTTGTCATTCATGTTCTACATAATCAAAATAACGGTGAGTTAATCATGATCAGTTGAGAGGTACAGAAAAAGCATTTGCTAACCATAATTAAAAAGTACTCAAATTGGGTATGAAAGGCACTTCTGTCCAGTTAGGGGCTTTCTACAGATATTGTAGCAAACATGAATCATTGACAGCCACCACTTTGAGATTCAGGAAAAGGCAAGATTGTCCTTGGAAGTCATTTTATAGCTACATTCCTTTAGCATAACAGTAGTATTTGGTTTTGCTGTAGGTTCCTGGCCCATCTAGCCTCATGTTCCTGGCCAATGGAACAGTGTCAGGAATGGGTTCCATTTCCTAGAGTGGGTCTTTAGTCAATCTGATAAGCTTTGTGCCAATAGCACACCTGCATATCTTGTAGGCAGGTCATATTGTAGACCAAAGGGTTTGTAGATGGATTGCTATTTACCTTTCTGCTTTGGTAATCTGCAGAGTACCTCCTAATACTATGATGAACACTCAGTAGTAGCGAAGGCTCTCTAGGTAGGTACCAGCTCTACTTCACTGTGCTCAGTGAGTTGTATGGGTACTGTCTTCAGCAATAAAGTTTTACTGTCAGCTGGTGGGGATCAACCAACAGCTTTGCAATAGATTGGGTTGTTGAGCATTCCTGTAGGAACACTTTGGCCAACAGCTCAATTAGATGTAACACATCCTAGTATTGGAAGCTCCATTTGGTGATGAGAGCCGTCCAGTTGGGACTCTCTCTCTCTCCTTTATTTGGTGATTTCATTTGGTGATTGACTTTATATATGTATGCATTTTAGGAAGTTTCTACTGTTAGATAGCCACATGACCCTTCCAGTGGCCCTTAATTTTAGCTGTCTCTCCCTGTATTTCTTCCCTCACCTCCCTCCCCACCAAGGTTGATCCTCCTGTCCTTGTCAACCCCATTTCATCCATTCATAACTATTCTATTTCTTCTTTCTAGGGAGATCCATCCCTTTCTCCAGTCCTTTACTCTATATTGAACCCCTGGTCATGTGAGCTATAGATTGCTTATCAATGACTTAACAACTAGCATCTACATATAAATGAATACATGTGGTGATATCTTGTTTATACTCTAACAAATAAAGCTTTCCTAAAGATCAGAGAGCAGAGCTAGCCATTAGTTAACTATAGAGGCCTGGAGGTCTCTACAAACAGGAAGTGATATGGCTGGGTGGAGAGGTAAGAACTTTAGTGGCTAGCTGCTCTGATCTTTCAGCTTTCAACCCCTAGTATCAGACTCTGGGTTTTTATTATTAAGACCAAATAGAAGTTGTACTACACACATACCATATTTGTCTTTTGAGGTGTGGTTTACCTTTTTTCTAGCTCTATCCATTTTTCCTTCAAATTTCATTCTTTTAACAGGTGAGCAATTGGTTATTCTCATAAGCTTTGTGCCACAATTACACCAGAATATCCTGTAGACAGGTCACCAATGTAGATCAAAGGTTTTATAGATGGTGAATAATATTTCATTGTGTAAATATTCTATATTTTCCTTATTCATTCACTCATTGGCAGACATCTAGATGTTTCCCATTTCTGTCTATTATGAATAGAGCATCAGTGAACATGATTGAACAAGTGTCTCTGTAGTAAGATGAAAGAAACATCCTTTGGATATATTCCTGAGTGGTAAAACTAAATTTTGAGATAGATTGATTCCTATCTTCCTAAAGAACTCTCACACT